TCGGAAAAGCTGAATCACTTGTGGTGGCAAGTGGGATTCGAACCCGCGCTGTGCTACTATAACATACGTTTGAAAAGCTACGCCATCCTCTGCAAGTTTAAGGTCGCTGCAGACTGATAACTTAGCTTTTCTGATCCTTGAGCCAAATCTCTTGCACTTATCAAGGCCCAGCGAGTATCGTTAGTTGTTATTACCTCTACCGGTGTAATCATGAACATCAGGTCCCAGGAGTGGCCGGTCATTCTCCACACTATCAATCTCGGATGCAGACTTCCAATAGTGTTATCGTTCAGCGCCGTTTGCTTACGGTCTAACTCCTTCCACAGATCGTTCGGCACACACTGATGCAACTTTATGACCACCGTAGGTTTTGAACGACTGCGTGCGACGCGTTCTTCATCGCAACCTTCCCGACCTGGACTCGTAGGTGGGCATCGTCCTACCGGACTTTCAGCATTTCTAGTGATCTTTTTCTCCAAACTGCGAGGACAGTAGTAATGCCAATGGCGATTTATCTCCAACTTCTTTGATCTTCATCATCAATACAAGACGTTGAACCCGTTTGTTGACCATGAACATGTTCGGTGAGATACACTAGCTGACGTGACAAGGAGCCAACCTCAATGGCGTTTGTGTTGTGAGTCTCTTTGTCCCTCCCCTCCAACAACTATCTCAATCCAATGTATAATTTGACTTTAGCATTATGTCACTTTTTAGGCTTTTGTGGTATACAATGTTTATTCTGTTATCTTTTTTGCATTGCGGCACATTAGCTGAAATGTGTTTCTCACCCTCAGCTAACGTGTATTGTTGAGGATCATCAACATCACAAATACGTTAGCTGAGGGTGAGAAACACCTCATCCAATGTGCCGCATTACAAAAAGTAAGATGCTGTACGTTACATACCACACAAAAAAACTTAAAAGGCAGGTAATCTAATGTTACATATCATATTATTTTTTGGATATGAGATCGTAATTGGAGGGGGATCTAAAGGGGGGATAGACAGACTCACAACACAAACGCGATTGCAGTCGACTCTTCGCCATATCAGCAAATATGTTCATCGTCCTTAAGACCGCCAACTTTAAAGTGCGCTTTTTCATTCCTTTAGACCAAATCATCGCTTGGCCTTCCCTTCCATATCCAAAGTCAGATCAAACAGTTCCTTGGTCCACAAGTCACCTTTCAGCAATCAGTTTAGTTCCGGAACGACATGTTCCAACAGCCGTTTTCCGTACATTCGCTTGATGTGGCAACCACAGATGGTTTTTCCTCACCAGCACTTTGACTCTCTGCCGGCAAAACCAGCGCAGCAAACTGATGGTCAGTACCGAATACTGTATTTGGAGTGGGGGGAGTGGAAATCTGAATCTGTCTAACTCCATCGAAACATTAAAATAGTTAACTTTGATTTTGCATACCTTGCTCGTTTTTTAGTTCTTACGTTCTATTGTAAACAAGCATGAAACTCAACGTAAATTGGGACTCACAAATGGGAGATGTCATTAGGTAATCGTAATGTAATATTTGGGAACTGCGTATTAAACAATCGTTTGAACTGTTGCACTGAGTTTGCTTCCACTATATGCTACGGAAAATTATTCCAAACACTACTCGCTGTTCAAAGTACAGGAGATAGGGACCTGGAACCACAAGCTTGTCTGGTGTCCGAGTGTGCTGCAAGTGGAGCGGTGGCCTCAGCATAGGGAAGTCACTTAAGTGTAGAATGCGATAGCACATGTTGGGGCCATACAGAGTGTATAGCCCCAGTCTCTCGTATTTGTCCTCATACGGCAAGCCTCGCAAACTGGAGATGAGTCTGATAGCCAATTGTTGAACCTGCGATTTTCTGCCACTCGTCTTGATTGGTCGAGCAATAGGCAAGCGAGTCGTACTCTAGCATTGGTCTTATGATGGAGGAGAAGAGGCAAGTAGCAACCTCAGCTGCGTTTGAGCGCCCATATCATGCGCAGTTCGTTTCGAGTTAGGCTTTTCGTGCAACTGTTTACCTTGCCGGGGTTACCACCGAACATAACAAATAAATCGTCAAAAAATTTTTGAACAACAATCGGTTGAACAGGTCAGTCACAAAAGATGTGATGTTGGCCGCTAAGTATATGAGAATCATGCGGTGGAGCCCGTCAGATCCAGCATGCTTGACGCCGTCATGTGCTGCGACTCATTAGTGTTGTGCGCAAACAATACCTACTTGTCGGCAAACTGCAGCATGCGGGTGGTCGTCTCATACACTACATTTTTCGCACCAAAACGACGGTTCAGCAACCCACTACTATCAATACGGTGTACCACACAGACATCATAATCATAAGCATCATCAAAAGCACAAAACATAACTGCACGAAGATGAATGTTACACGGGGCAGGAGCTAAGACGCAGCCTTACTTCACACCAGAGCCAACTGCAGCTACTCAGCTTCATCTACTCATCATCAATGTGGGGCTCCACACGAACACCGTAAGCACAAACCGCATCAAGCGCACAAGACATCATTGCATGAAGATAAATATTAAACAGGGCAGGAGCTGAGACACAGCCTTGCTTCATGTCAGAGACAACTGCAAAGTCATCCGACGTTTGTCCACAGAACTGCACCCTCACCCGCATACCACTGTACAGACATTCAATCAAACTTCCGAACTTAATCGGACAACCAAACTTACCCACCACCAGCCACAATGCTTCGTGGTTTACCGTATAAAAGGCTTTGGTGAAGTCAACAGACAGCGAGTACAACGCCTGTTGGCGCTCTCAGCACTTCTGCAACTGACGAGCCGCAAACATCATATATATCGTGCTGCGGCCCGTAGGTAATCCGCATTGTTCTTCCGTCACGTTTGGTTCAACAACCTTAGTGACGAGGCGGTTGAGCCGTACTCGTGCGATCGCCTTGCCCATACAGCTCTTAAACTTGGTGCCACGGTAATTCGTGGCACATTGCTTGAATACTTTGCCCTTGTACAGTGGTGACACTAGGGCATCTTTCAAATCGGATAACACGTTCTTAAAACCATATGCGTCACACCAAATGGTGCAGCGCATGCATCAAAACGGGTCCGCCATGTTTCAACACTTCAGGCGGTATACCGTCGGCTCCGGTGCACTTTCCGTTTCGCAGCTAAGCAAATGCTCTCTGCGCCGCAGTATCGATATTGTATTGCGCCATTTCTATTGCGACCAGTGCAGTGCGTCGCCCGGGGCGCTCACTCTTATGCTGGTCGAGTATTGTGCGCAAGTTTCAGTGCCCGATGTTGAATGATTTGCACGCATGCATATGGTTGCATCAATGGGCAGTCGTAAGCGTATGGTGGTTGTGCTTCGGAGCTTTGTTTCAGTGACTCCATCGGGATTTTTTGACTCAATAGCCTAACCTGCAATACAGTGAGGAGGAGATCCAGCTCGGGAGTGTGATCGTAGAAACAGATTGGGATCTGGTTGAGGTCTGTCACACACAGCCCTTGAACATTTAGAATTACACAAGTGTTTTGAGACCGTAGTATATTACGCACCTGCGATCACGGCCAGACGCTGGAGAGCTTTTGCGTTTTTGCGCCAATTTGACGATAAGCTGCCAGACTTGAGGCGGGCGGTGGCAAACCATTGGGCACACGTAGGTGTCTTCCCACCGTCAGAGACAATGCGTGACGCCCGTGCTCTACGCCAGTCGAGCTGTGAGCTGATCAATTATGCTTAAACTTAGTTGTGACTGTCTTGCTGACCAGAATAACTCAGAAATGCTTGAGACTTGTGAGAAGTTTTTGGTGTTAGCTTCGTCTGTGTATGGTGACATGATACCTACATGCAGCGGAATGGTGACGGTTCATTCAGGAGACCATTGTGAATGGAATCTTTCTATTCCCACCGCCCATGGTCTGTTTTTGAGTATGTTCCGTTCGTTATGGAAGTGCTGAACACTAGCGAACTATGATACAATTAGGTTAACAGATGGTTCCATGTGATCGTGTTAACTTTACCATCTGTTACCATGGAGCATGAATCCTGTCCACACGATCCAGTCTGTTGTTAATCATTTTGGACAACTTGTCTTCTAGTTTGAATGTCTTTTATCGAATCGGATCCGAGTTTCATGACTTTTGCTATCTTCGAATCCAATTGTCACTGACAGTATGCATTTTTTATGGGGGCTATTAACTCTTCTACCCAACTATACGTCTACCTGTCGTCGCAGGGAGCCATCACAGTTGGCACTAACGTTTCGATAAGGATAAAGATCACCAGTGCACCGGGATGTTTTGCTTGCGCGAGTTAGAGATACAGGGATGTCATCCGCGCCTCGCAGACCTGATCCAGCGATCTGTGGATTACAAGTCAGATGTTTGGACCAGTCTTCCACCGGCCGGCGAAGTTTCCAGAAAGTTGTGACTGTTGTGGTTATGAGCGACGGCGTCAGCGTTTTGTGCAATAACTGAACTATCAGCAATTGTAACGCCCATGAACTCAAACCTAATTTGCGTGTGATATATCCAATTGCTATGACTCACGCCCCCACATTATCATTATACACATTAACTACAGGTGGAGCACACCTCAACTATTGTGCCGCAGTACGCCGTCACATGGTAGTTATAATTAACAATCAGTGATGAAAATGGGATGGAGAGAATGCAACTATACATACGCCAATCCAAAATTAAGTGTTGGGTTTAGATGTGGACGGATAGTGGTGATAGGTCGAGTGCTGCCTCCAAATTACTTTGTTCTCCGTGGTACTTAATATATGCTGTGATTTCTACGGATTCAGAGAATCACCACCAATTATACACTACTGAGGCAGAATTCTCGTTTGAACTCACTTTTTTCTCACATTCTTCATTGTACTATTTAATGAACATACTTTAGTTATGCTTTCACTGCGATACAAGAAAAAACATACATCAGCAGCATTTTAATTTTTCGCATAGTGCTGTTCAAAACTACACCCCTTCCTCATGTTCACTGTAACTTTTCTTCTTCAGCGATCATAGCCATCACCGGCACCGCATTCATCGTTCACGATCTCGGTCCCACGAGAGACGACGTTCCCGATCTCCTAAAACACGCGAAACTTCTTTTGAACGTGATTTGAAGCGAGTACGCGAGCGGCAAGAGAGGGATAGGCGAAGGAGCCGGAGCTGATCATTGAATTTTCAAAATCATTGTATTTAAATACTCATTACTTCCCTATTGTCTGTTCATCTGTGTGTATCGATCTTTGATTGTACACAACCACCGTAATCTTATTCCAAGCCAACTACTGGGCTATTGTTTCGAATTTTCATCCAAATAATTCATCATCTCCGTTTTCTTTCTGCTCGCTTTCCATCCTCACCCATAGCTATGGGCTACCGACGAGTTTTGTGAATTCTCTCGAGCCTTCTCCCCTTAACGCGAGAATCCATTTCGTGCATTTTCCTTCTGTTTTCAATCCCGTTTGAGCTTAGTTTGGTGCAGTCCTCGATTTGATAAAAAGCGGAGGTAGCTTGGTATCACTCGGCTTCACTCCTCAACCCTATGGTAAATCCAGTGATCCATTGCGGTTCTGGATTATCTAACCACGATCACAAGAGCGTACTCCTATTTCTGTGCATTTGGGAGATTTCATCCCATACGTTAGAGAAACAGGGTTCTTAGACTTTTGTCCTTCATCATTGTTCAACTCACAGCCATCACGATTATCTGCGCATCTGTCTGCGATGAACTCACTCTTCCGATTCAGTGTTCCCGGTTTACACTAATTATCCGATGTAATTTAAACCACTGATTTTCTGTTACACTATATGATTGTCACGACTTTGGTAGGCGTTTCTCCGTTCGATCTGGTTGACCACACAATAATTCGTAACATTGAGGTAAAATTCTTGCTTTCATTCACAAGACATCTGTCGGAGCAAAAACCTGAACATGCTGTTTGAACTGATTACGTTTGCCGTCGCACGGTGCCATCTGTTTACCCCTAACCAATACATTCGCGGATCGCTCAACGTGTTGTCAGGATCATTGTTTTATGTTTCCGATGCTATTGCAGGCAACTGGCTCAATTTACGACGGAATTCTTTATCACGGGAATTTTCTGGCTCTTCTGCGTTTTGCTTCTCGTTGTTGTGATGGTTGCACAATTGTCAGTTTTCCACGCTATCGCCCCAGTGACTTAAGCGTCGTGGCTGTCTGTTTATTTCCACGTTTGTTATCAGCGAAATAGGCTGATTTGAACTTGTTACTAAGAATAATCACGGGAAACTGGAAATGATTTTGGTAGTTCTCGAAGCTAAACGGTTTGCCTGCAGACATTTTGCCATCAGACAAAGCAGCATCTAGGAAGTAGCCTGCATCTTTTGTCTCTTTCGTGCTGTTGATGAGAGATCACTTAACGTTTTTTGACTTCCTCGTTGGCGCATTTTGTTGACGTGATTGGGTGATGGGCGGATTAGCTAATCGGTTTCGTTGTTTGACTGATCTGAAGCAGTTCGTTAACATACTTTGTAACACACCTAGATGAATTTACGTGCTTGTTCTCCAAATCGAGTTGTTAATCCTCAGTGCCCGTGTTGACTAACTCGAGTATTCCATGATCATGTCAATGGATTGTTAGACCATGTTCACGTAGTCTCATGTCAAGCTCTCACTTGGTATTTATTCCAATTTATTTTGTCCAGCCAGTCCTTAACGTTGAAGTTTCTCTCAATTCTTTTCTTGCGGTTAATGGGCAATTTTACCCCTTAGGGCCGTGGAAGTTTCATCAGCATATAGCATTGATGTAGGTTGGAACAGTTATCTGTCCTGAATATGGACTGTGGTGACCTCACGGATAGCAACCTATAATTATTACACACAATAGAAACTTTTGAGCATGAATTTCATTTGGTCAGGTTTGGCGCTTGGTTTCGCTCTGGTAGCTTATTGCTAAGTTTTCCAACTCGATAGACGTGGGTTCTCACTTAGCTTGCACTTGTGGATTATCTGGCGATTGTTAAATTAGCCCAGGACTTGGCTCCTATGCACTGGCTTTGGAAGGAACGTGGATTTTAACGGTTCTGCTATTTACACGTACATCTAGACCTGCAAATTGTCCACTTTCTCATCATAGTTAAATGGGTGTCACTTAAATTACTAATTAGTTGCTACGTTGCTTACACATTGAAAAGCTTAAGATTGGTCACAGAATTGCCTATCACAAGCCGGTCCTCTAGGAGCAATCAATTTATCCAACAAATTAACCAGCTTGTACTTTGGTACGTGTTGTTATGCAAATTTCAAAGTGACACAGCTGCGCCGCTACCATTAAGAGTGACGCTGTCATCATTCAGTAAGTTATACAGCGTCCTGTCAAACAATACTAGGGATCTTATTTTGGAACGGCCAAACGTCGCCCGCCAATCGAAATATCTTAGACGGGCTGCTGTGCTTACTGCGTTTTGTTTGTCTGACTGGTCTCCCGGATTCAATCCACTCTTTCCGACTACTTACTACCATCATGTTCCCCCTTTTTTAGTTTGCCTTCAGCCCAATAAGCATCCCTAACGCTCTGAGCTATCTCCGCTGATCTTCCTGTCGCTGTACACTGTGGATGGCGTTATTACAGCTTCATGCCGTTTCATAGGTCACCTCAGTTATTCCCGATTTTTTCAGCTTAGCTTACTGAAGTCATAAGACTTATCTCCTACCTGCCTACTTTCCTTCGCTTGTGAACATTAGGTACTGGTTGGATCCTCATCGACTGCCAGCCTGGGCAGTACCCGAGTTTCACTGCCCTAGTGCTGTTTTTGGCCCAACACCCCTTCGCTTAACTGCACATTTCCGTTATAACTGAGTAGCGGCAATGAGAGAATGCGCAACGCACTTCACTCGCTTTGACATACTCGGTAATATCTTATAAACTCATGGTTCTGTGTATCGTATTTACATGGATTTTGGTGTATACGACATTTCTGCTATGCTCTCTTCAAAGCTGGGTCTCATCATAAACAGGTACGATCAACAAAATCAGCTATTCGCCGTACATCCAACGCTGCCAAACTCTGTCCTATCTGGACAACTAAAAAGCTGCCGATGCCCCAATGAAACCTACTCAACCGGTCTCCGCCACTACTCATTGCATTTACCAATTCGTCTGTACCCCCGGAAGCAGTTACGTGAGCAGATTACATCGTTGTCTGAGTAAGCGGATTAGAGAGCACATTCCGAAGCGAATTGCTGGGCTGATAGCACGACAAACAACCGGACAAGGGGCAGTTGGCAAGCTGCCTGCATCATCCATCGCTAGACACCTAGTCAGTACAGGTCATCAAGTTGACCGTAGGTCAACTTTTACGGTTATCTACCGAAACGAAAACGCCAAGGTGTTGAAGTTTGCCGAGGCTGTGGCCCTAAATCCTTGCCGTCCTACCCTTTGTATGTAAAAGCTACTGACAGTAGCCCTTAAGCTTCCCTGGAGTTCATGACCTTTGCCCCAGCGCTACCAGGTACTGTTGTGTGTTTGTGTGCATTATTTTTTCTTACCAATTCAAAACGATCGTTTCCTTCCCTTACATGATCTATATATGTTGTTAGTTTGCAAGTGATCAGATAACACGAAATGGTGCCATCTTGCAGTGCTCGTCTTCTTATCGCTTTCTTCAGACTGATACAGGGAACACGATGCTTTGAAAATCAGAGCAGCCTTCAACTTAAGAACATTCGCTATAGTTGGGTGTTTGTAAGTACAGTAGTGATCAATCACGGCGTTTCACGAAACTGTCTATGATGTGGATCTCACAAAAGTCAACTATTGGCCGTTAAGGGATTCATGGGGATAGTTTATACATCATTGTGCCGACTTCCGTAAGGCGTACTTTTGGTTCTTTTTAAAGATGGGGAAAAGACTTCTTCCTTGCTGCCATTTCATGATGAACAGCGTGTTCCTTCAGAAAGTATGGGGAGAGTTCATCAGAGCCAGGTGCATTGATCTCCATTATCTAGACTAGTTCGTGTGCAGTCTCGTCGATTGTAGAGGACTGTGTGTCAACGTCTCAGGTGGGTTAGGGTAGCAGCTAAAAACTGACATTTCGGGTCATTCGAATTACTTTTCAGTTCACTCGACCTGGACTTTCAATCGACGTGACTGAGAGGAAGTCAAATGTCCTTTCTCAGCATTGTTTCACTCTAGAGGGTATTTCTTGAACCATAATGTTAAATGTGTAGAAAGGACACTTCGGTTTTTCAAATGATATCAGCATTCTTCATTCCACGGGTCATCACCATTCACAGACATTCGGTCAACACTGGGATACTTGGTTAGTGGTAGGAGGACCCGTAAATTGATTTCCAGTAAACCTCCTTCACGTTCTAGTTTACTTATCTTCTCCAGCTTTTGGAATAGTTTGTTTCCTTTTATACCGAGAAACCGTAGCCACAAAAGGACAAATCATATTTGTATATACAACCTTTTCGTGCATGCAGTATTTGGATTCATGCAGTGATAAATGTTCTAATAAGGCGCCTTCGTCTAATTATATGGTGGTCCACATCCGTCACCGGCCAAACAACATATTCAAGCTTGGAGGCTACAAACTGCAAGCAGTCACTCAGGAGCGCGACCTTGGGGCTGATTTGGGCTGCACAGAACAATCAATGAAAACGTAAAAGGTTGGGAACCAACACGTTGGCATTCCGCGGTGAGCATTCGGCATTTTGATCCATCTGTCTGTTCGCAGCTGCTCAACACCCACGTGCTGCTTCATGTGGATTACGCAATCCAGGTCTGGCACGAGAAAGATCTCGCAACGCTCGCTACTCCACAGCGCAGAGTCACCAAGCACTTCAAAGCGTTGTTTCTCCTTCCATACCAACTTAGGCTAAGATGGTACAGCGATCATTATCGGCGCCTACATGGGAATCTAATAAAGTCCTACCACATTTCAAGAAACCCCAATCACGTCTGCTGCCACCTACTGTAACTCAGTCACAACACGAATTTGATGGACCAGCGGCTCAACTTGGTCCCGCAACAGTCAGCGAAACTTACTCTCTTCATGTCTACCATTCACAGAACGCCCCCCCCCCATTACGTAGTCTCCGCTCCCACTTTACCAGTGTTTAAAAACGCCTTGACTTTGCCCTACATTATGCAATCTAGTCTGTGTACATCGACCAACGATCTAACGTGACAAACGTTGTACAACTTGCATTCACCTACATACTCATGGTTGACTCTTTTGTGCTTGCTTGTGTGAACATTGTAGTGAGTCCACCAATACAATTTTCATTTTATCACTTTGTTTTCTTTTCACCATTTTGTGGTTCTCATTCAGGCCATCCTACGAGCTTGTTAAGCACTTGCTTTTTACCCGCAATTCACCATTGTTCCATTGCATTCACGGTCATTTTACGCCAGTCCACGGGCCTTCTCAGTAGTTCCTTTAAGATGATAATGACGGTAAGTTCATAAAGCAGTAAGGGAGCGATTGAGGCCTTCAAAAGAGAGAACCACTATGGTGTATGGAGACTGGTAATTGAAAGCTACCGAGCACTCTATCCGTTAGTCACAAAAATCCTATTATTAGTGCAACATACCCAGGACGAGGGTGAACTTGAGGAAACTAGGATTGATAGACTCACATGGCTCATTATGAGCTTACAGATTTTAATCTGAAGTGATCGAGTACTGTGAGGTGTACATATATGAGGACAAATATTTAACGCTGCGTGATAGACGTTTTCCTTCTCGAAACAATGTCAGAATTTGAGTGCATGGTGGATCAGAGCTGAGCTTCAAAGCATCTGGGTGTTCATGTACTTGCTGTCTCTGCTACTCAACATTACGATTTTTTGTATGGTCAAGACAGACGTAACATTGAGATCACCACTGGCACCACATCGACTTGGATGATCGCTAGAACGGAGTTGGACAGTTGAACTGTTATCGAGTCATTGTGTTTATCGATTGATACTGATACTCCAGGTCAATTGAATGAGTAGTATTTTGTCTTTGAGGCGTTGGGTGGTAGGAATTTGTATAAGAAGGTCTGGTTGATCACCCCATCGTTTCACCAGTCGTTCCGCAGACACCAAATGGTTCCTGGGTACGTGTAAAAGTGAGGTTATTGCTGAGGCCTATGATCAGGTAAGGGGGTGATCAAAAGATTCTGGCTGCCCTACTTGCTGAGGTGACAGGCCACGCGGACACAGAGCTTTGGAACCAGTTTGGTGGAATGCAAAAGACAGTTGGCCAAGACGACCAAAAGGGCTACAGTCCATGATCTGAAACTTCTAGCTGCCATTGTTTTACGTAGTGGTTAACGAGCAAGCTAAATATATCAGTAAATGGATGCGACTGACCTTCCCAAAATGATTTCCATTAAGCATCACCATTTACTGTGTCCCGGCGTTGATGGACCTTTTTTAAGACACCTTTCGCGTAATGGCCCAGTAGTTTGGTCTTCAACCTTTGCATTCGTGCATGGTCGATCTTCGTGGGAGTAGTAGCTCCTACTCGAACTTTTAGCGCGAATATCCTGCGCTATATATCTGTTCGAGGCTAGACGGCCAGCCCAATGCGGTTGGTAAAACATACAAAATTAGGCCAGGAAAATGGTTTAATTAGCGAGAAGAAAGCTACCTTATGCGAAATAATAAAACACCAGGAGATATCCAGCTAGGGAAAGGTGGACGAGCGCCGTTCGCGGTTCGAGCCAGTCCAGTACCCGGAAATTGCGTAGAGTTCGAGGACGGTGTGTATACGTGTTTCAAACGGGAACAACCTTCCGACAAGCAAACTGCCTAAGTAAACTATAATTTGTAATAGTTTGAATGATTTGCACAGCCAAACGGAGGGATGTACAGGTCGCTATAAACTTTCTTGGCAGCACTGACCACATATATCTGCCGTGGACCTCACCTCGCAGCCGATTCATTTATTGAGTAACCCATGTTCCCGCTGAAAAACGGTTTTGCAGACGCTTTTTTGTTTGTGTGCTGCCTCCCTCCATGTCTCAGTGCGGGCGCTAGAAGTTGGTGTAGTAGACTACTCCATCAAAGTGACATTCGTGCTACCACATCAGTTGTCCATCACGCCTAATTGTATCCTTCTACGATTTCAACAAGTTACCGTATATCGTGATTTGTGGATAGATAAATCTTTTATAGGCCTAAAGCAATACTCCCACGTGGTCTGCGTCCTTCGTTTTTATTAAAATCTCTTTACCAAAAATACTCTCTAATTCCTCAGTCCTAAATGGGTTTTTGGGTTCCCGATTGGTCTGACCTGATTCCTGTAAATGGCCCATTGCACTGTCGCACAGGTAGCATGCTGAAGGAAGCTGACTCGTCTGAACACATGTCGCTGATCAGAACTTTGCAGATCAATATTAACTACATCTTTGCCATTTTCGGCTACCTCCGTATGCGAAATACTTCAGTCTTTGTGGACCCCATAAAAGAATGTTAGTTGAAACTGAAGTTCCCAGATATATATATATATATATATATGCGACACTTGACTAATAAGCAATTGACAGAGTGCCACAACACATGGGTAACCGCAACAGCAAGTTTAAAAAATAAACCGTCAAGAGGAAGGGTTACGTGGGTTTCTGTGTTGTGAATGCAGTCTTCCCGATTGTCCTAGTTGAGAAAATGGGTTGCCTTAAAGGATTCTACCTCTATCCATTGATCTTACAGACGTGACCTGCAAGGCAGAGGAGCGAGCAATGCCTTTGCTAGAACTACCAACCAGCTGCTGAATCCGAGGGCTGTTGACAGCGTGTGTCTCATTCGCCTTTTTTCGGTAGCAGTCCACACAGAATCCGATGGCCAGCAAGATTGTCCATCCTCCCTCCGTTAGGTGCTCACGTCTGGTTACAGAAGTGCATGATAAGTTATCCCCCAGCCGGTCACGTTGGCTTTGACATAGCGCCATACGTGCTTGTGTTATTTGATGACGAACTAGGTGATTAGCCCAGAACTCTCCCACGCTCTGAGTTGACATCGCTGATCGTCCGCGACTGCTGATTCATCTCACCTGCGAAGGAAACGATACTTATTCGCAGTTACCTCAGCAAGGAAGGCGTTCTCAAATCCGCAACCTGGGGTCGCGCTCGATAGCGTACAACTCCGGCATGGGAATGTTCCCATTAGTGCCAATAGAAGATTAATAGTTCCGTCAAATGTTTACCGAACTACGTGCTTGCTTTTTCTAACAAACGCAATCAGGCCTTGCGCTTTTCAAACAGTTTAACAATAGGTCCACATTTGTTCGCGTCCCACCGGGCATAGCCGCATTGGCCAAACTCGGAAACCAAACAAAGTCGTTTGACAGCCATCTACACAGTATAATGAAGGTGAGCGCTTTACGGATTGAGTACTCCGCGAACTTCCAAAGAGCGATGTTTTTATTACCCTTTCGTCATCATTAGTTCACATTGCTCCAGATGAGACCGCTGGTGGATTTTCACTCTCAAAGCACTGCTAGTGCAGCTGAAGTTTGTAGGACTAGTTAATACTAGTCCGAGACGGTGCGCGGAATTAAGCGCGGATATCAGAAGGCAATTGGAGTCGGACACAGCGGACTGTATTCGATGGGACTACAACAAGAAACGGACGGATGAAGCGAGGCAAGAGCGTACACGTGAGCGCGGGAACTTACAAGGCAGTTGTGTGTCGAGCCGGTTGTAAGATTAAAACAAGAAGGAGTAATGTACAATCGGTCAACAAGTAAATTGTACACGAAAGATAAGAGTTATCTTTTTGGGCGCTACAGAGCTCCCCCCTAGAAGGCTGAACATAGAAAGCCTTCGAAATCGAAAAGGAATGTTGAAACGAGGTTCGTAAGGCGAAATCGTGCCGAGTAAAAATGGGCGTGCGTTCGTGTAAATGGGGGTTCGTCGGAAGTCGGAGTCCGCTGTGCCGTTTATGATTCGTTATTTATTGAATGCAGGGCAGGGTGCATTTCGGCGAGCCGTTGGAGCGGGCTTGTCGGACTACAAAAAACTGGCTAGTCGAGAAAAAGGCCGACAGTACCTCAACCTCCGCTGCTGCCAAACGGTGCGCTTGGGAGTGGTCTCTCCCCCCGCCGCCCCGCGCCAAAGCGACCCTCGTCCCACGAAGAAAACGACCACGGTCCCACGGAGAAGCGACCCTCGTCTCGCGGAGAAGCGATCCTCGTCCCGCGGAGAAGCGACCCTCGTCTCACGGAGAAGCGATCCTCGTTTCGCGGAGAAGCGATCATCGTCCCGCGGAGAAGCGACCAGTGTTCGCGTCAGGGTCCTCGAAAACATTCCTCGTGTGGGCCAGTCGATCGAAGGGGAGGGTTGGGGCATGTAAAGACGAGAAAATAGAAAAACACGCGCAGAAAACGCCAAAAAGAACAAATGAATGATCTGCGTGTTTAAATATTTTTTGGTTTTTGAATATTTTTTTCGAAAAAGGTTTTTCGGGGTTTTTTGATATTTTTGTTTGTTTTCAAAACGTTGATCGACCAAAAACGGGGCAAATATATACAATATCTACAAAGCTAAAAATATTTACACTGTACATAGTCGGAGAAACGGACGGGCTTACGTACCTCCCGACCACGGCGATTGGTCGTGGGAGGCGGCGGACTAGATTCGGGAGATGTTGGAACGGCTTGTAGACCGAGATCGTGGTCTGGATGAACTGGACCAGGATGCTGTAAGCTGGTGCGATGAGTTGTGACGTCGCACGAAGCACTACTAGACGAAGTAGGCGAGGTAGTTTCTTCCATAAAGGCGGGTTTCAGACGGTCGATGGTGACGACTTCGTGTCGACCACCGCGGTCAATAGTGTACGCCTTACTCGCACGATGCAGCACCTTGAAGGGTCCTATGTACGGCGACTGAAGAGGCTGTCGAACACCGTCTGCGCGAAGAAGGACGTGTGAACACGTAGACAGCTTCTCGGGCACGTACACTGGTGTCTTCTGCGATCGAGGAGCGGGTGGACGTAACTCACGCATCTGGTGAGCCAATCGATCAGTGTAACTTCCGTAGTCAAAAGTGGAAGTACATGGGGCTGGTGCTACCAGCTGTCCGGGCAACCGCAGCGTGCAACCGTAGACTAGCTGCGCTGGTGTGGCGTCGAAATCGGCTTTAACCGTGTTTCTTAAGCCTAGAAGAACGAGAGGAAGCGTTTCAGACCATGAAGGATCTGCGTGCGCACGTAGCGCTGCCTTCAACTGGCGGTGAAAACGCTCCACCATGCCGTTAGCGGCCGGATGATACGCC